CCCCCCCCCCCCCCCCCCCCCCCCCCCTCTCCTCTCCCCCACCACCACGCACAAACACATTCAAAATCTATGTGTGAGCAATTATCTGAATTTATCTCACAACACTAAAAAATGTCTTTATCAATGGCTGAGGAAGGCAGTGCTGTCAGACACTGGGGGCCTCCTCCTTTGTTGTCACCGCCTCCATCATCATCAACGTCATCACCACCACCACCCTTATCAGCAGAGGCAGCAGTATGTGGAACCTGTTGGGTGAACAGTCCAACCAATCGAAGGCATAGATACGTGGCATGTATCTCATGCCAGCCTATCATCCTATGTGGCATTTGGCAATTTAAGGAATAACCAGCGCCGCTGTCCTCCGCCTACACCACAACACCACCATCTTGTCAGAGTTGTGGTTTAGTCTGAGGACAGCAGCACTGGTTCTCTCTTAACGTTCCTCGTTGCCAGCAACCCCACGGGCCATCGCCATATTTGTGCAGCGCCGCTGTTCCCTGACAACAGTTGAAGCTCTCATATTTTTGGGCACTGCTGGCAATTGGACTCATATTTTCGCTGCCACCATTGGCACCGCCACCCTGGATGAAAGCAACATCAAGACAGCTGGTGTCCATTCTGAACAACAACAGGGAGGGGAGTGGAAGGGAGAGGGAGAGGGGCCAGGTGGGGATGGGGGTTCAAAGCAAAGAAAAGAACTGGAAAAATTGAAACTAAATGGGCATGACTGATGAAAACCTGTCGTTCGCTCGGCGCCTACCATGCCTATGCCATGTCAATTGGAAGCAGAAACAGTGGCTTACGTTCAAAGGAGCTGGAAAATGAAAATATATGGACATGACTAATGAAAACCTACTGTTTGCATAGTGCTGACCATGCAGAAACAGCGCCTTTTCGTAAAGCAGTACCCTCTTTCAGAGGCCTGTCCTGTCACTAGTGTGACCCAGGCCATTAGGGGATTTTCAGTAGGCTCAGCAGCTTGGCTTAAGATGCAGTGGTGGGGTTACACCGCCGTTCCCCCCTACGCTTACAAGTTTGGGGGACACCACTAATGCTGTCTCTTATACACAGTGGTTGGGACACACACACACACACAATCAG